ACACACACACACACACACACACACACACACACACACACACACACACACACACACACGTTACGATTCTTCCCATCTGTGTTGTGTTAATCCACCCCCACCAGGCTAAACAGGCCTCTCACTCTGTCGGAGAAGATCGTTTACGGCCACCTGGACGATCCGGCAGGCCAGGAGATTGACCGTGGACGCACGTATCTGCGTCTGCGTCCTGACCGTGTGGCCATGCAGGACGCCACAGCCCAGATGGCCATGCTGCAGTTTATAAGCAGCGGCCTGCCCAAAGTGGCCGTTCCCTCCACCATCCACTGTGATCACCTGATTGAGGCTCAGATTGGAGGCGTTGAGGACCTACAGAGGGCTAAGGTGGGAGTAAAAGTCCTCCACTGTATGTTTTTACTGTTAGACACAAACATGAACAAGAGTTCAAAAACAATAAATCATTTGGCACARAAACACAAGGCATGTTTTTGGACAGAAAAATGTTTGGCTCAATATTTCATAAGGATTTTTGAATGAATGCAAGACAAAATTTATGATTTAGTTTATTAATTAAACATTGCAAATACACTGCCTGGCCAAAAAAAAAAAAAAGAGTTGCCAACTGGATTTAAATAAGCAAATAGGTACGAGCCTCCTATTGGATAATTACAGCACGGGTGGTTATCTTTCAGCTGGCAGCAAGTTATTTAACCCCAACTGGTGCAATGAGTTGCTTCTCATTTCTTAACCATGTGGAAAGACACATCCTGTGGTCGTGGAAAAGATGTCAGTCTGTTTGAGAAGGGTCAAATCATTGGCATCAAGCAGAGAAAATGTCTAAGGAGATTGCAGAAACTACTAAAATTGGGTTAAGAACTGTCAAATGCATTATTTAAAACTGGAAAGATAGTGGGGACCCATCGTCTTCGAGGAAGAAATGTGTCCGGAAAAGAATCCTGAATGATCATGAACAGCGATCACTTAAACATTTGGTGAAATCAAATCAAAGAAAAACAAAAGTAGAACTCTGGGCTATGTTTAATAGTGAAAGTAAGAGCATTTCCATACGCACAATAAGGGAACTCAAGGGATTGGGACTGAACTGCTGTGTAGCCTTAAGAAAACCACTAAAAGGTGAGGCTAACTGTACAAAAAGGCTTCAGTTTGCTAGGGAGCATAAAGAGTGGACTCAGAAGCAATGGAAAAGGTCATGTGGTCTGAGTCCAGATTTCCCCTGTTCCAGAGTGATGGGTGCATCTGGGTTAGGGGAGAGCCAGGTGAAGTGAGGCACCCATCATGCCTGTGTGGGCAGTGCTATGATGTGGGGTTGCTGCAGTTGGTCAGGTGTAGGTTCAGTAGCAGTCTGTGCTGAAAGAATGAGGTCAGCTGACTTGAATGAGCAGGTTATTCTATCAATGGATTGTTTCTGCCCTGATGGTACAACTAAATATTCCAAGATGACAATGTCAGGATTCATCAGGCTGGAATTATGAAAGAGTGGTTCAGGGAGCATGAGACATTTTCACACATGGATTGGCTCCACAGAGTCCATTGAGTATCTCTGGGATGTGCTGGAGAAGGTCAGACTCTACCATCATCAATGTAAGATCTTGGTGAGAAATTAATGCAACACTGGATGGAAATAAGTCTTGTGACGTTGCAGAAGCTTATTGAAACAATGCCACAGTGAAAGTGTACTGTAATCAAAGCTAAAGGTGGTCCAACAAAATATTAGTGTTTGTGACCTTTTTTGCTTATTTTTTGGTGGCAACTGTTTTTTGGCCAGGCAGTGCATATTTAAAYCAACTGTTTTGCTTTTTTGAAGTGGGGTTCTGTGAAAAGGTAATTTTTCTGCTTGTAGGTAGCTCTATGAATAACCTCAGTTTAAAGAATTGACTTTTTTTTATTTTACCTTTTTTGTTTACCAGGCAAATCCTGTTGAGATTGCAGATCTCTTTTTCAAGGGAGGTCGGGGCCTGAAGGCAACCTATTGTATATGATTATCTGTTGTTAATCTGGTCAAAGTGTAATTATTTGCCCTGGCAGCAGCACCGCACAGTGGTTAGCACACCCCACTTTGCTTCAAACTAAATCAAATGATCTGGTTCACCACATGTGTCAAAGCCAGACTGAATGTGACAACTTCAATCTGGGTTCGGTTTTTATGTTCATAAATACTTGCAAGACACTCGTGTGTAATAAAAACATGTTGTGTAAAACCTTTTCCAAATATACTCTGATTTCAGGAAGTTAACGAGGAAGTGTACAACTTTCTTGCAAGTGCTGCAGCAAAATATGGTGTCGGCTTCTGGAAACCAGGTTCAGGGATCATTCATCAGGTAACCTTAACACTAATGTACTGTATGATGATGTTAGTGTCTTTAATTAATCTTGAAAGGTTCTAGAAATTAGACTTTTATGGCATTAAAGTATAACATATTGGCTTGTTCATGTAGTGTGAAATTATGTTTTGTAAAAGAACTTTGTAACAGGTCCATATAGTAAAGAAAGGAAGTCAGAGGTCATGTCAGGCAATTATTAAAATATTTTTGTGTCTTTTAAAATGTATCTGAAAGAGATGTTTAATATATTCTCTGACACCCCTAGGTGTCAGAGAATTAATCAAATCTTCAGTCTTACTTTTCCAAATGTTTTACTTTAAAATGTTTTCGACCAAAAGAAAACCAGAAAACAAATAAAAGTGCTTGTGTTTTTGCAGATCATCCTGGAGAATTATGCCTATCCTGGAGTGATGCTGATTGGTACTGACTCTCACACACCCAATGGCGGTGGTCTGGGGGCCATCTGTATCGGAGTGGGTGGAGCCGACGCCGTTGATGTCATGGCTGGAATCCCCTGGGAGCTCAAGTGCCCCAAAGTGAGGACTCCTGGCATTCTCTGATTAATTTGATTAAATTAATCAGTAATTTTTTAGCATCCTGCGTCTTCTTTTCCCCTCAGGTGATTGGAGTGAGACTGACAGGAACCCTGTCTGGCTGGACCTCCCCAAAAGACGTCATCCTGAAGGTCGCCGGCATCCTGACGGTGAAAGGAGGCACAGGAGCCATTGTGGAGTATCATGGACCTGGAGTTGACTCTATCTCTTGCACTGGTAAGAAGGAACTGCAGTGCAAGGTTTAAAATTTTGCTGATCTCTCTTTAGGTACCATAAATCAATAACTTACTGTAATCTTTATAATTCTACATTTCAGGAATGGCCACTATCTGTAACATGGGTGCTGAAATTGGAGCCACTACATCTGTTTTCCCCTACAACCACCGCATGAGCACGTACCTAGAGAAAACGGGTCGTGGAGGTCGGTGTTATACAGTTCGGTTTGATTCACTGAGTCTTTTATTTGCTGATTTACCTCCATCTGTCTTGTTCATGCAGAAATTGCATCAGTTGCTAATGAGTTTAAAGAGGACTTGGTGCCGGACGAAGGTTGTGCATACGACCAAGTGATTGACATCAACCTGAGCGAGGTGACCTAAAAAAGAAGCAAACTAAAATGTTTAGATGTTAGAATTTATAAAGTTGTAGATTTTCTTTATTTGTCTTTGACTCGATGAGTTCTACAGCCAACCACGCTAAAAATAACTTTTTAACAGACAGCTCAGGCTTGAAGGCCCCCACCACACTGGATAACAAAGAGTCAGCCAGAAAGAGGACGGTCGTTGCAGGATCTTGGCAAAGCCTTCTGGCACATATTAAGAACGCACTGTGCCTCCTGTTTTATTTGACAGAGCTTGAAAATTCATGGAGGGTTCAGAGCATACCTTAATTTTCTGTAGCGATGTCTTGATGACAGAGTATCAGGGTCCTAGGTGGAGTGTTAGAGGTCATGGTGGCAGAATATTCATGACACGTTCACCAGCATGGTTTGATCATTGATGTAAGTGCTTTAATTTATAACTAAGCAAAACAACTGAAAGACTGTCAGCTGGGAGATTTATTTGAACAAAATGCATTTTTAAATGGTTCAAACAGTCTCGTAACCTGGTTCTCTCTGTTGGATAAGTGACCTTGATACTTAAACAAATAAATAAATACCGCATCCTGCCAAGCTGTCCTTCGTTTGAGTTTTGGACCCAAATCAAGAAGCCCTTGTTCTCATCATGCTCAGACTTGCTGTGTGAGGAAAGACAAAAGGTGGATGTTCTTGAGGTTCAGCACAGAAAATCCCTCCACATGCATCCTTTCGTGCTGCTGACTGGGGTTTTCTCCTCGACAACAGCATAAATCTGATTCTGTAGTCCCAGAAACCTGGCATAAAGGAAAATTCTGCAGATCGTGATAAAGGCTGTGTCCAAATTCAGGGGCTGCATCCTTTGAAGACCAATTTGTCGGCCAGTTACCTCACAGCGACGTGCCGAAGGCTCTTCATCCTTTTCCCCCCAATTTGAGGGATGGGTCATGTGGCTCCTTCTCAGTCCACCCTATCCCAATATGCATTGTAATGGAGGAAGTGAGAGACAGGAATACAGTTTTAATTAAAAATCTGCCAGAAACAAGAATTGAAAGTTTAAAGTGGTTGTTGTTCGTCTCTTTGTGTCAGAAATCATTGTAAACGAGCTCATATAGCCTTATGCTGCATTTCACACCGAACGCGATTTCAGCATCAAAATCGCATCCAACGSTTCAAGTTGGACGCTTGTGCACTTAAACATTTGCAAAAATTAAGCCAATCAGTGACGAACAGTGTTCTGACGTTGCATTTTGATGTCAGCTGGGGCCGGTTGGAACCACAATGAAGTAGGTACTAAAAAAAAGAGCCGGTTCCATGAATCTGGCCTAATGGAAATGGCTTGGAACCGTACCAAACCGTACCGACAATACACTAAGTGGCACTAGTGGAAAAGGGGCATTACTATGTGGAGGCAAGCTTTATTCACAGCCACCTTTTTCCAGTCTTTGCAGATGACAAAAGGACCCGGCCCACCTAGACTTGGTAGGCCGTGTCCTTCGAAGGATGCAGCCCTTGAATTTTATACACAGCCAGAGTCATTGAAACACCAAATGTTAAACCAGTGACAATAGAGTGGATCTCTTCTAGCATGTAGCTATAATCCTGATAGAATAAGTCATGTCAGAGCTGGAACCATGGGTGGTGCAGTTGGAGGTCTGTGTGTATAGGGAGAGAGGTGAGGGTGCAAGAAAGCGTCTCAAGGACACGGAACTTTCCAAGTAAACACCTTTTTGGCAAATACTAAGAGCACAGCAGCATCACGATTTCTTTCTTTCAAATCTGCCTCAATCCAGTCATGTTCTAACAGGTCAAGGAGAGCACAGTGGGGTCTGCATCCAGTGTGAGGGGGACCTTAGGGAGCCATGACTCCAACTAAAACACTCGTTTTAACATACAGTATGTGGCAGTACATAGGTGTCCCATTTATTCATCCCCCTCTGCATCTTACAGCTGAAGCCCCACATCAACGGACCCTTCACCCCCGACTTGGCCCACCCCGTTTCTGAGATAGGGGCCATAGCTAAGAAGAGCGGCTGGCCCCTGGAGGTCAAAGTTGGTCAGTATTTGTGACACGGCTGGATCTTCTTACAGTCACATTTAATGCTTTGTCCGGTGAAATTTGATCGCTCGATCTTGGTTTGTACTCGCTGTTTTATTGAGCAGATATGATCAGATTGCATTACAGCTCAGTCGTGATGCCAGGTTTCCAAAGTCACCTTGAAGGCAACATCATTTTAGTCATTTTCAGAATAAGCAGGATTCAGGCATAGTAATCAAGTTTTTTAGCATCTCATTTTCAACCAGAAATAAACTGATTTTATTTGATAAATATGGCTGATTTTAGACTTTTCTCATCTTTTTTTCTTCAGTTTGATTTCTTTTTTCTGAACATACAAACAGGTCTGATCGGCAGCTGCACCAACTCCAGCTATGAAGACATGGGCAGAGCAGCCTCTCTGGCCAAGCAGGCTCTGGATAAAGGCCTGAAGTGCCGGGCCCAGTTCACAGTCACACCAGGATCTGAACAAATTCGAGCCACAATCGAGCGGGATGGATATGTGAGTCAGAAACACACCGAAGAGATGGATAAATAAGTGTAACAAAGAAAACGTAGGAAATGAGAATTCAAACTGTTTTGTGTCTTTGAACAAAGATGTCTTCTGAAATTCATCCCGTCTCTTTTTCAGGCCAAGATCCTGAGTGATGTTGGGGGAATTGTTCTCGCTAARGCTTGTGGTCCTTGCATCGGACAGTGGGACAGGTATATATGCAGTGTTTAAAAAAGTTTTCAGAAGCTTATTTGTGAAAGTTGACAAAATCCTTTGTGATGGACCCACAATTTCCTGATTCTTCTTCTTTTTTTGTGCATTTTAGTCACTAGAATACTGTAAGTCATAGGGTTYGAAGCAATTAATCGACTTACCATTAATTGTTGAATAATGGTTTATTAGATTAAAATCTGTTTATTTGATTAACTGATAATCGCTCTAACCGGAAAGTTGTGCCTTCTCTGAGACTCTTTTTCAATTTGAGTCAAAAGTAGAGACTGCAAGCTTAAACAAGTTTTAAATTGTGTTGTTAGGCAACGTAAAACCMGAGTTATGATGAATCGTAAATGCCACATTTTATTTTCTTTAAAATGGCAGTCCGATTTGATGTGCATTGCAGGAAACATGGTCCCGTGGAAAAAAAAAACACCTCAACTCTTCTCTTGACCCAAAAATATATAAAAAAAACTCCAATCTTTTTCTTGACGAGGCCCAAAGTTATTTGTCAAGCAGCAAGAAGTCTACAGGACGAAGAGAAACAAAAAGGCTCGAGCAGCTCTCGGATACCTGACCAGGACCTTCTCCAGTACCACGCTTACTGGTCCATTAGAACCAAGGATCAGTTCTGAGCTCTAGAAAACAGAGTAAGGGGTTTATGTTCCAGCCATGGAAAACACCTGAAGTCCAGGTAGACCCACTTTCCTCTCAGAGTAAAAAACAAAATAAAACAAAAAATCTGTCGTTTTAGCCAAAGAGAGAACCACCTCGGCGGCAGCAAAAAGTAAAGAATCAGAGAAAAATCATAAATGTAAATATATTCTAATTATATTAATAAATTAATATTTGTTTTACATCTAAAAATCACATTTTATTCTTTTCATCTATTTCCCACCATTCAAGCAGCCTAATAGATTTCTGTTTCATTATATTTTATAAAAATGTCCAGTTTAATAATGTGTGAGAGATCCACATTTTTTGTTTATTCAATCAGTTTTTAATACATCTGGCAAAATAAATTATTAAAATATATTGATCTGCTTCATTTTTTAAGTCAGCATATTATACAAGAATAACCCTTCATGTTATGGAAAGACTCACTTGATACAAGAGAAAACTCAGGTTTTTAAGGCCGCTTTTCAATTAGTCGTTAGCAAGATRYATCAACTTTAGATTAATTCATTAATTGATAACTTGCATCCCTAGTCAGTCAGTTTTGAGTGATCAGGGCAATGGAGATGCATTAGATTCCCAAATATATCACAGGTTTGGTTTGTTTCTGAAGCGTTTTGTTTGCTTTGCTCATTTTGTTGTAAAGCAGTGGTTCCCAAACTATTTCCTACAGATCTGCCCTTTGGTTATAAGAAAACTTCTGATTATCATAAAATGAGATGATCATCTTTATTATATATACAAGCTTTTTTGTTGTTTTATCTAGTTGTGTTACATATAAACTACAATATTTCAATCAATATAGACTACTAGCAGGCATTTAAACCTGTATTATTGTGAAATACTTGTCCACTGAGAGACAGTCAAACAATATATTTCTATCTTTTGTCTGCTTTTGTTTCAGGAGGGATGTGAAAAAAGGAGAGAAGAACACCATCGTCACATCTTTCAACAGGAACTTCACAGCCAGGAACGATGCAAATCCAGCRACTCATGCTTTCGTCACCTCACCTGAAGTAAGATCAACTACAAACTGAACGTTTACAGTACAAAAGTTTTAACTTTCTCTTTAACATTTTACATGAAAACACTCWGTTCTGTATGTGTTGTTAGTCTGTGACTGTTGTTAATTTGTTTGTGTGCAGATTGTCACTGCGCTGGCTCTCGCAGGGACTCTCAACTTCAATCCAGAGACTGATTACCTGACTGCACCCAGTGGGGAGAAGTTTAAACTAGAACCTCCTACTGGTGATGAGCTCCCCTCCAGAGACTTTGACCCGGGTCAGGACACCTACCAGTACCCTCCTGCAGAGGGCAACACAGTCATGGTAACGTGGACTCATTCACGCTGCAGATCCTAATGCTCAAAACTGATTTTTGTGTTCATATGAACTTTTTTTTTTGGAGAGAGCGTTCACATTATAATTCAAACACAACCACCATCCCAGGGTTCGACAAGATTTTTTTTCTTTACCTGCCCGACATGAAAAGTTAGCTGCCCGAAACAAAAATGTTCAAAAATAATAAAATATAAGAAAAACGTGTACTGTATTTGTACTACAAAAATATTAAAGGGCCAGTATTATGTGTTTCTCAGGCATATATTTAAATACTATACCATAATAAAGTATCTATGTCACCTTTAGCTGTTATTAAAATGCTGTTTTTATGTTTAAATAGAAAATAAACTTATCTTCCCATCACTTCCTCTTCTAAACACTTTGAAATTGGCCTCTGTCTCTTTAAGAACCACCTTCTGCTTCTGTTCCGTCCTGTTCGGTGGGTGGTGGTGGTGGTGGTGGGGTTTCGCACTTGGGGGCGGCGGGTTGCGAGTGCGCTATGATGCAGTTTACTTGGCATCTGAAAATACATTTCCTCAAAGGTATTTTTAATCTGAAAAGAGCTTCACTGAGTGAGAACTAATGTTGAGAGCTCAGCAGACAGTAAGTTTCACTTTCA